AAAAACTTAATGCAAAGAATTGCAAAATGGTTCACTCAGTTTTTAATCAGGAATAGTGCTATATATATATATAGTGTTTTTTAAAATACGTCTTGTATATGTATTAATGTATACAATAGATAAAAGAAAACTGTAGATAATTTCTCTTGCGAATAATTTGTCTGTCAATAAAATCAGGTGCAATACCTGATTTATTTGAGCTTGCACTGCGCATCGATACTGATAATTAATCAAGTTATTTTTATTCGTTTTATTGCGTTTTTGTAAACTACGATAACGCATAACCATTATCCAAATGCATCCATAAGCAACGGAGGTACCTGACTGTGCGATCTCAAGATGAGTCTTCTCTTATATTTATAATATAGATATAGATTATACATATAATATAGAATAGAAAAAATTTACACACACACACACACACACACACACACACACACACATATATATATATACATATATATGTTCACAAATGCACAATTATTATAAATTACATATCTTTTAATGTTGTAAGATTATTATACATATCTACCAGAGCCGAAGAAATGTGCACCCGCGTCTTCAAAAGCGCAGAAGTCGGAGTAGAAGCCGTTTCACTGATACGTAAATTGACGTAAACCGTGTTGCAGCCACATCGAGTGTGGCACCGTGGAACTTTTTCGTCCATTATTATTAGACGTAGAAAGAATCTCCCTATGCCAATGTTTGTTTTAGTGGTTCAAGAAAAAAAACGGCTGCGACGAAAAGTAACCTGATATTTAATTATGTTATCTTTTGACGATATTAATATTAATATATTCGATATTGTTTTGAAGTGTTCATTGTTCTTTTTTATCCTACATATTCCTACATATTCTTGGAAAATAGATTAGGAGTCTTATTCTCTATTCTAAGTTCTGAGTTGTGATGTTAATATAAGTTCTAAACTTTATAATATTTGGATTAAGTCAATTCGTTTGAAGCTTAGAATTTTCGACTTGCCAGAAATTGCGATGTCAGAAATGCTTTTTTTCCGGAAAAAATCACAGTGTTTATCTTGATCTATAATAGATGTAGTAAATTTTTTGCTTTAAGATCTAAGTTGTAACATTAATTTGTTCTAAGCTCTGAATTTTATCATTTACCTTGAGCTACAATAGGTGTAGCAAGCTTTTTGCTCTGAATTGTTAATTTGCTCCAAGTTCTAAATTTTACTACAGTTGAAGTCTGATCAGTTTGTTTTAAATTTGAGAGATTACAATATGTTTATATAAGATAGCATAGAAAATGTTTTTTGCCGAAAAGAATGTTACAGTTTAGAGTTGGAACAAAAAATCACAATATTACATCTATGTTGAGAGAAAAGTGTTTGATATTTGTGACTATAATTATAAATTATTATATTATTTGTGACTATAATGGTAAAATAATTATGGTCAAGAACTTCATTATTATAATTAATACCGTTATAATAATTATATTTATATTTCTATTCAGAAACACTACATAGTTTTCGAAAAGGATTATAAATTATTAAAAATTATTCATCATAATTATTATACCATACGTTTTCTTTCATAATCAATGTATTATAGATCAGTTTTCTAAAAAATGAATAGCAATGGGAATGTAGTTTGTGAGATTATTGGATGTTGTAATTTTTACGTGATTATTTGAATTTGCTCAATTTATTTTACTTCTGCAACATGTACAAGTAAGGCAGTCTTGTGACATCAAGTTCCATTCGATAGATACACAGTTAGATACAAGTTACATTCGATAGATTCGCAGATACCTATGAGAGAACTCGTGGCACGACAATTAACCTCTGATTAAAATCTTAAAATGCTGCAAATATTTAGAAATATACATTGCGGACGTTGTGCAAATAATGCCTTTGCGTTCTGCTAATAGGTACATATCACATGCATACATATACATATATTTCTTTTCTTTTAAGAATCCTTCGGATTCGCAAGGCGATCTTTACGTAGCGAAGTTTTGCTTAGGTACCTATTTATCATTCATTTCGTAAAAAAACGATTGATCACGCTAAATCTACGTGAATGGACGGATACTTTGCTAAAGGCAGGTATATAAAAAAAAATATGCTTTCAGTAAGAACAA